CATGATGAATATAATCTTCTTAACAATCATTAATTAATCTATGGTCTCAGTCATTGGGAGACTTTTTTTTTTTTTTTTTTTTTTTTTTTTTGGTCTTTGTGAGACAGGGTCTTGCTATGCAGTTCAGGCTGGACTTGAGCTCACGTTGTAGCCCAGGCTAGTCTCATACTTGCAATGATCCTCCTGCCTCAGCCTCCTGAGTGCTGGGATTACTATGCCACCATGCCCAGTTTGGATTATTTACTTGCCTTCCACATAAACCTCCATGACTCCCAGTGTTAAGTCTTTAGCCCATTTATCTGTACCAGGCATCTAACTTTAAGTTTAAAATTCTTCTTGCTATCTCTACCAAAAGATGCTGAGCTGAGAATTCCAGGTAAATTCATTTTTCCCATTTCTCTTCAAATGCTGTCTTTTTTCCTATATTCTCTATTCCTCTCTATGGCACTATCACTTATTCATTCAAATTCGTAATCTTAGAAGCATCGCTGGATCATGTTTCAGATCTACCTAATCACCAGTTCTCTGCCTTGTCTACTATAACATACCTTTTATTAAAACTTTCTTTCCCACCCACCCTAACCTTAGCTCCCAGTTAAACCCTGTCCTGTAATAATACAGTGTCTCAATCCTGCTCCTCCAAATGTCCATCTTACTTGTTTCTTTCCTACAACCTAAAAATATTCAGATAAAAATGACTACACTTCTGTAACATAACAAAGAAGGTACAAAATACAAAGAAAATGAAACAAATTAACCTGAACTTACTTTGAAAAGCTTGGTGGCTTTATGTGAGGGAGAGGAGGGTCATTGTTTAGGATAATTTTCACTATCACTAGGGATTCGCTGCTGTCTTCTGGCTCAGTGGAATCCTCTTTTTGTGCAACTTTAACAAGGAATTCAGTGACACAAGCTTTTGCTTCTTGAGCATTTCATGGAATGTGACATTGGATTATCATTGAACAGATTCATCACTCACACTGTGGCAGCCTTATTTAGGCAGATTTTTCTAACAATTTTGCAGTTTCTCACATTTTCCAAGTTTCCCTTTTTCTTTCTTTCTTTCTTTTTTTTTCTTTTCTTTTTTTTTTTTTTTTTTGTGGTACTGGGGATTGAACTCAGGACTTTGTTCTCTAATCTTATTTGTTTTGGTCTTTTTGAGAAGAGGTTTTGCTATACAGTTCAGGCTGGTCTCAAAATCAGTGATCTACTTGCTTGTCTCTGTGTTGGTATTACTCCCTTACCAGTTCCTGATCATTCATCTCATTCATCTCATTTCCCATGAACATAATTTTATGGACAACTGGTGGGTCCTGTTCATGAGCAAGCCCCTCTATGTCATCCAAGAATGCAACCAGGCTATGGTTTTCTCCAAGCAGAACTAAGGGTTTTCTTCATGACCCCATTGCAGGCTTTACTGATGATCTTGAGGCAGTTCATGATGTGGGAATGACTTTTCCAAAACTCTCAGAGGACGGTTTGTTCTTTTGGTTTCCTCAAAGCATCACAGATTATTTCTTTTTAAAGTTCAAATGACCTGTGACCCATGGGCTGGAGGACTTGGGTGGTGTAGGGAGGGAGAGACTTGATCTTCCTGAATCTGAATTCCTCCAGTATGTTGTCATCAAAGCCTGGAGGATGAGCAGCAGCATTATCTGTAACTACCAAGGCTTTCAGTGCAGGCTCTTCTAAAAGGTTTGCTTCTCTGTAGGACCAAAGACCTCGGTGATCCCCTCAATGAACAACACACAAGCAACCAAAGCCTTGTGTGTCAAATTAACTGGTTCTTCTGCACCTTGGACTCTTGAAAGTTGGTGAACTCTTGGAATGATACATGGGCAGGGGCTTGACTGTGAAATTCCTGCTTCTGTTAGCACATACGAAGTGTGTGAGACTTTTGGAAAACCAGGACACAATGGGATGGAAGACACACAGCACTAAAGAGTTGGAAGGCAACTTTTATTACTCTAGTGGGCTGGAGGGAATCAGTTCCAAATCAGTGTCCCTGTCATGGGGTTAAACAGACACTTACATATGCTTTAAGCAGAAAATACCAAAGGCTGAAATTTTATAATTGATTACACAGGCTGCTTCATACACTTTCAGGCAGACTTGTTCTGGGCTGAAAGTGTTTTCTTAAGGTCTGGGGCTTGGGTGAGAAGGAAGAATCACACATTGTCTTAGCTGAGCCAGTCTGTCTCTGGTGGTAAGTCTTTCAAATCTTGAAACAAATTAGCATAGCAATTTCAAGCAGCAAAGCAACTCACCTTCTGGCTGAGTTATGTCTACCTTATAAGTTGCAGCTGGCATGGGGAATGTCAAGGCTGAGTTTTGCCATTTTCTAATTATAAGAACAGGCTGAGCCTGCCTTTCCCATCCTTGAATATAGTGTCTGCCTATAACTTTTATTTAAGTTCCCTTCGCATGTTTCATGGGTTTGTGACCAAGCACTGCATTCTTTTCTTCTGTAATGTAAGTAACCCATCTCATCACAGTTGAAAAGTACATATTTACATCTATATTTATTTCTCTTTATATATATTTAAGTCATGCACTTGAATTCCTCATTCAAATTCAACACTACAGAATTTATTTCACCGTTCAGTTTTGTAACTCTCTTTTCTAACAGTGAGGAACTGGACTCCTATTATCTTCAATATACTTATTTGATCAAACCCTCTGAATGTAATAAATTCCCGTTACTGTCCTCTCCCCTGCGTGGAAATCCTACTAACCCTACTCAGGTTCCAATATTTGTGTCAGGCTGATACTGCTTCGCTCCATATGAATGCTCTCATCTTATTGTGTAAGGCCTCTGACACCCTAATCCTACCAATCACAGATGAATCTATCTTGCTTGACTTCACCTTTATGACTTGAGTAGTCCCAAGAAGGGAAGGGAAAAGAAGGGGAAAAGAGTTCCCAATTACTTAATATGCCTTTTAAACCCCCCCTTTTTACTATTACAAACAAAACTACAATGAGTAATCACATCTATCCAAAGCCACTATGTATTTAAAATAAATTTCTAGAAGTAAATTTGCTGCGTTAGAGAGTATGTACATTTGTAACGTTGGTTATGCTAGGTTACTTTCTACAGAAGTTTAACAATGTACACATCCACCAAAACCATGAAAATTCTAATCCACAGATTTAGAAATTCCATAATGACATTTGAGAAGATTAAAACAAACTATTTTCTATTTTAAAAATACATTCATTGTTACACAAATCTGTGGAGGGCAGCTGGAGCTGGAGATGATCACAAACAAGCTGCTTCGAGAACCGTGAGGTGTCCCAACAGAGGGGTGGCACATGACAGCAATCTGCCAAATGGATAAATAAACTCACTAAGGTGATGGGGCAGCTCTGTTCCTGCCATTCGCAGAGGCCTCCACCTGATCTCAGCTTTCTGTATTCTGACTCTTACCTTTATTTCTCCATCCTTCCACACAACTGAGAAAGCTGTGCTGGACTCCAACAAATCAAATTTTCTACTATTAAGTTTCTAGTAACAAAAATGAAATGAAATTTAGCTATCCCAAGCAAGCTTAGTAATACAAAACAGTAACTAAACAGGGTAAAAAGTAACTATAAGAACCCTAAGAAACATAAATCAGGACAGGAAGTTGAACAGAAGTTAATGCTGTAGCTCTGCAATTTACAAGGCAAAAATGACAATCTATAAGCAGGATGACACAAAGCATCTTAAAAGCTATTTTCTTTCTACCAAATTTGTTATTCAGATACTGGTCAGAAAGTGGCTTTCCAGGTCTTGAGTTTAAATTCTTTTTATACCCCAGCAGTAGTAGGAAGATGCTCACTAGACTTTCCCTCAAAATTGCCCTGGGCATGTCAGGCACCGGATGGGATCCAGAAGTTCAGCGTTTTGCCTGAATTTCCTGGATTTTAGCACTAAACCTGGTGAATCTCTTTTCTTTCAAATAAACTCAAATGCTCTACTCTCAGTCCAGAGTTCAATACAGTTTTCAACAACCGGATGTGACCGTTCACTTTTAAATTAAATTGAAAATTCAGTTCTTCAGTAGCAGTAGCCACATTTCAAGGGCTCAGCAGCTCCCAATGGGCAGTGGTTATCCCGTTAAGGCAGATACGCAGAATACTTCCTAGCAAGAAGTTTTATACGGCAGCGCTGTTGTACACAATTATACCCCGGCTTTGTAGTGCATGCCTGTAATCTCTGTCACTGGGAGATTCAGGTAGGAGGATTGCAAGTTCAAGGCCAGTCTAGGTAATTCAACAAGACCTTGCCTAAAAAACAAAATGGGCTGGATGTAGCACTTAGAGCCCTTGCCTAGCACGTGGGAGGCTCTGCGTTCAATCTTCAGTATTATATGCACTGTAAAAATAAATAAAAAACCAAAACCCTTTAAACCCATTAGTCCCAATACTAGATATTACTTTCCTCAAATAGGGGAAAAAGTGCTGATAAACATTATGTAAAAATGTCAAACAACCGGGGAGAAGGTAGGAGGATCACAAGTTTGAACCCAGCTGGGGCAATCTAGCAATTTAACAAGATTCTGCCAAAAGAAAGAAAGTTGGGAATGGAGATTGGGACGTCGTCCAGCGAGGAGGTCACGGGTTCAATTCTCAATAACCCATCTGCCCTAAAATCTCCCCAAAGCTCAGCCCTGCGGGTGGGCTTTCTCTGGAACTAGCTCGACAGTGACCTCCATGCGGAGGCCTCGTGGGTCCAGTAAAGAAGGAAGCCTGCAGACTTCTGGAAGGGAGGCGGCGGTCCAGAGCCCAGACCCCGCAGACCTGTGTACAGCAGCACAAGCCTGCGTTTCCCGCACGGTCGCGCGCTTGGTGCAAGCCCCGGAAGGCGCGTTCCCGCTGCCTCTAGCGCCACCTGAGGCCCAGGAGGGCGGCGGCCAATGGGGTGGAGCGCCGCGCGCAGTGGGCGGGCCCTAGGGCGGGTCCAGGGGCGGGTCTTGGGGGCGGGGTCGTGACGCGCATGCCCCGTGACCCACTCTGAGCCTGCGTCCGCGGAAGCCGGAAGCGGCGGCTGTGGCGGCGCCGGCGTGAAGCGGAGGAGCGGAGCGCCGCGACCTGGGGCTGGTGGACCCGGTGATGGAGCCGGTCCCTGAGCTGGCGCCGCGGAGGTCGTTGTTGCCGTGGTGGCTGCCGCTAGCGCCGCTGCTGTGGTCGAGGCTGGCCCTGGGCGCGCTCCCCTTCGCCGGCAGCCCTCACGGGGTCTTTCCGGACCTCTGGTCGGAGCCGCGGTTGCTGGAGGTGGAGGACCTGACCCTGTCCTTGATGCGCGGTGGAGCCCTGGGGCCGCTGTCGCTACCTCCGGACCTGCCCGATCTGGATCCCGAGTGCCGGGAGATGCTGCTGGACTTCGCCAACAGCAGCGCAGAGCTGACCGGGTGTCTGGTGCGCAGCGCTCGGCCCGTGCGCCTGTGTCAGACCTGCTACCCGCTCTTCCAGCAGGTCGCCGGCAAGATGGACAACATCAGCCGCGCCGTGGGGGTGGGTGCAGGAGACACTCGGGGGCTGCGGTGTGGGGGGCTGGGGGAGGAGGAGGAGCAGCTGGCGATGGCAGACTGCGGAGGTCTCTGCCTGTCCAGTTGGGTGAACCCGGGGCTGGGCGGTGTGGGGTGGAGAGAGGGTGGCTTTCTGCCTCGTAGGTGCTGTTGGGCACCCTCTTTTAGGGCCAACACCTGTACAGACTTGTTTGCAGATAGGTTATGACTGGCTTTGGGGGGTGGGTAGTGTTCCTCACTTTCGCTATAGCTTCTTTCCATCCCAATCCGGAGTTCTCAGGAAGGACCCTCTTCTGAAACTACGCATGGAGTGGAGAAGCTGGTAGTGATTAGAAGGTTGAGCTTTGTAGCCAGAAATGTTCAAATCCGCTCATTCCTGGTGGGGTGATTTGGGATTAACGATCTTTTCAAGGCCTTAATTTCCTCCTGTATGAAGTGGGAGGAGGGAACCAAAACACTAGAACAAAAATCATCCACAGTTGTGATGTGACTCTTACAAGGGTTAAAAAAATAATGTTGGGGCGTTCACCTTAGTGATGAGGACAGTGTGGCCGAGAGGGCAGTTGTACTCTGGGCAAATTACATTCTCTGCCTCTTTTCTCATCTGTGAAGTGGGAATAAAGGCGTGTCTTAGAAAGCTGGCAAAAAGAATTTTGTCTGTATAGGATTTAAAATTTTAAGAGTATGGTAAGTCGGCCTTCCATTTTTGGTAGCCTGAGAGACCCGCTCATTTGCTACAGGACCAGAAAAAGGAAGGCACAGTCCCTGCCTGTAGAGGGTGTGCACTAGGAAAAGATTAGAGTTTAGGACTGGTGAGAGTCACGAGGATGGCTGGCCAAGGAAAGACATGAGGAATAATAATGGGATCGGGGAGTCAGAAAGCTCCTCCTGTACTGAGCGGACAGCACAGAATCTCATGAAGATATGGTTGAAGTTTCATAAATTGTAACTGATTTGAATATAAACTTGTGTATCATTGGGTCTTGCTTGAAGTCAGTCTACTATTGGTAGCTATTTTTTTTGCAAAAACAAGGGATTTGTTTAACTTCTTTTTTATTGGTACCGGGGATTGAACTCACGACCACACACTTGCAAGGCAGGCGCTTATGCCTGCTCAGCTAAATCCCCAGCCCCAATTTGTTTAACTTCTATAGTCAATCTTTAAAGAACTAGTTAGGTTTGTAGTTAACGTTTTGCATGCATAATTCTATTGCTGTCAACTACAGCAGGATAATACCACATTATATTTGGTTTTGAGAAGTTAAGTGAGTTATTTTTAGGGTGCTTATGTTGTGGTCAGACTCATGATCAAAGCTTGGATGTATCATTTTTTTTTTTTTTTTTAGTGGTACTGAGGATTGAACTCCACACCAATATATTGAGCAATGTTCATACTTAGCAACATTTTAAATTTTAATTTTGAGATAAGGTCTCTAAATCACCAGATTGACTGAGCTCAAATTTGTGATTCTCCTGCATCAACATACCTGGCTAAAGCTTGGATCTTTTGAGGCAGCAAATGCTTTTCTCATTTCTGTAGATCCTGAGGAGTTGATAGTTATCTCGCACTGTCTATGGACAGCACTCGTCTGTGACTTTCTAGGTGAATCCTCCTGTCTAGTAAGGTTTCCCAGCATGAGTTACAAAGGCTGGCGTCCTGTACCTCCTGCCCCTCAGATTCTGCCAGGGATGTGGGAACCCAGCGCATCTCACCCCGGTGTGGAGAAAGAGGATAAAAAGGGTGAAAAGAGGTGGGAGAAATCCATCATCCAACTCGTTCTAGGCCTTGGTCGTTGTTTCTCTTCCTTTAGTAAAGCTGGATGTGGTTCACTAGCCTAAAAACTTGCTTTCTATAGTATGGAGGTATTTTATAGATTTAATAGACTTTTTGTAGACTAGTTTGGGAATTAAACCAATGTGTGTAATAATGAACATAGGGAAACATATATTGTAAGTTTCTTTATGAATGAACATGAAGGAATTGGTTGTCTTTTGAGGAGATTATTTCTCCAGATTAAAGGATTTTCTTTGATTTGCTAAACTGTCTTAGTCTAATTAGCAACACCTAGTATTCTTGATTTTGGGGCTGGCAAAAGGCTATAGAAAGAAAAACAGGCCTCAAAGCATCAGTGCTGTTGGGAAGAAAATAAAACTATATCAAGAAAAAGAAAAGAGAAAATAGCACCAGTGTGTTACAGATCACATGCTGGTGATGAGGAGGAGCGGGGAGGAGGTGCAGGGTTACAGCAGGGGACAGAGCTGGTGGGTTTGGTGAGGCGGGAAACCACAGGCTGCGCTGTGAACAGGGCGCCACTGTTCATCTTCTTTAGGAGAAGTGGATAGGATTGATTGAGAGAAGACAAAAGTATAAACAGGGTGAAAAGCAAGTTGAGGAAGTTAGAAAGGTATTTATGTGATACAGCAAGCTCATTTACTCTAGTCATCTGGTGAAAATCTTACGTACATTTCACTTCCTCTTAAAATTACTGCAACAAGGACCACATACAGTTTCACTTTTTATTTTATTTTATTTGTTGTATTAGGGATTGAACCCTGGGCCTCACACTGACCTACGTATCCAGCCCCTTTTTATTTTGAGAGAGGGTCTTGCTAACTTGCCCAAGTTGGCCTTGAACCTGCAATTTTCCTTACTCAGCCCCCGAGTAGCTGGGATTACAGGCATGCACGGCAGAACTGATAGGTTCCCTCTTAGAGATCTCGGTTCCTTTAGTTTGAACTGATTGGGGCATGGGTTTATTGAGCAGTTCAGCATCATCAGGCTGTTTTCGCTTGCTGAAATTGGGAATTTTAAGCTCAGTACTGTGCCACTTAGTTTAAAGGTTAGGTAGATGAATATGTACCTTTTGTGCATTTATTTAAAAACAGCACCTATTTTGTACAGGGTATGATGATTACTAAGGACATATCTGAATGAGCAGAGCTCGTAGTCTGAAAATAGACATAAAACATATATAGGTAATTAGTTAATGCAAATGTGATAAATGTTGCAAAGAAACAAACCTAGATGCTGTGTGACCAGGTGTAATCTGAGATATGCGTGGGGGTAGGTAGAGTGGTCAGTGAGTAAAGCTGACACTTAAAATGTGAGAGGTTGTGGGGTAGAGAGAAAAGGTATAGATGTAAATAAGTAGCTGCTGCGAGAACTGTGATTGGATGGGTTGGAGTGTTTGAGGACTGGGAAGAACTCAGCACAGTGAGCAAGGAGATTAGTGAGCTATGCCCGAAAACGTGGCTGGGGTCTAGGCTCATGTGAGCCTTACAGGGAGCACGAGGGATTTTAACCCGTGATTTTAAAGCAATGCGGTGTTACTAGGAGCTTTAATTCTGTGGAGTGATGTGCTTAGATTTGTGCTTCTTAAGACCATTTTGGCAACAGGACAGGAATTGGAGGGCCAGGACCTGGCCAGAGCGGGAGAAGAGGGTATGTGGGGAGATAAAGTAGGGGATTGTTGCCGGGATGTGAGAAATGGTTGCTAGGCACATGGGACCATTGTGATTGAGAGATATGGGAAGATATTGGAGATATTAAGGAAATAGAAATGGTTTGTCTTTGTGGGTAATTGCATGTAGGGAGTGAGGGAGAGGAATCATGATTTCGTTTTAGGACTGCGATACAGCTCAATGGTGAAGCGCCTGCCTGGTGATTTCCACAGTTTTAATAAGGGCAGCTTAGTGAATAGGGAAGGAGGAGCCTGTCCTGCAGGCAGTGATTAATTCAGTTTTGAAACTCGTTGATTTGGTGATGTGTTGAGCCATCTAAATAGAGATACCGCATGGTTGGATGTCCACATCTAGGTGCCTACTAAACTGGAGGTAATACTTTGGGGAATAGTCAGCACTGATGAGCCTAACTGAAGAATAAGAACTCTTAGAGAGTTTGAAGTTTGAGGTCGGGGATAAAGAGTCAGTTTAGTGTCTCATAAAACAAAGACATGGTGTTTTGTGTCAGAGCCTGCTGAGAGGGCTAGGAGTGCATGTGTCAACACTGACTTAAATGAGTGACATTAACCAGAGTCACTTTGTTTGTGTTTGTTTTTGGAGACTGGTCTCATACGTATAGTTCCGGCTTGAACTCACTGTGTAGCTGAAGCTAACCTCAAACTCCACAGCAGTCCTCCTGCCTCGGCCTCCTGAATGCTGGGGTGACAGCAGTGCTGCTATGCCCAACTTCAGTGGTTTTTTTGTTGGAGAAAGGGTCTTGCTGTGTTGCTCAGGTTAGTCTCACACTCCTCAGTTCAAACTTCCTGCCTCAAGGGTTCTACAGGTGTGCGCCATGGTACCTGACCACCTTTACATGCTGAGAGAGGGGACCTTGTGGAGCTGAGCAAGCCCACAGGAGGCCGTGGGAAATAGACAGGGTCAGTTTTCTTGGAAAGCAGAGTTGACAGAATAGGAATGTGGCATATTTGTGGCAGCTCGCTGACTGTTACGGAAGCTCTAAGAGGTGTGCTGTCGGGATAGGGCATCCGCGAGGCAGCCTTTGACAGTCGGCACCTTCTCCGCCTAGCCAGGGGTGGCAGGAGAGGCGCGGTGCAGAAATACGCAGGTTCGGGGCGCGCAGAGATTTGAAATAGTGGTTGTAAAGAGGGAAGAATGGGCAGCAAGGGAACAGACGGGCAGCGCGGGCTGTGGACTGTCGTCGAACAGGCTGCTGCCCTCTTCCCGGAGCAGGTGTTAGTCGGCTCCTGACGTGAGGGTTCTGTAAGCCATCGTGAAGTTGTGTGTCTCGGCAGCTTGAGTAGAAATCAAGGGCTGAGTGTTTCTTTTTGGCCACTGTGCTAGCTGTTGGGAGGACAATGATGAGACAAAGTTTCTTAGGCTAAGTCGTCTCCCTCTAAATATTTTGGCCTTTCTAATACCTCAGCTCTCATAGGGACACTCTGGGCACACTGAGTTCTCCTAGGGGCCACGTACCCGTTTCCACTTTCACCCTGTGATCACCGTATTCTACTGTTTTAGGTTCTC